GTGTGGGGACTGAATGGCCTGGCCTCAGCACTCTGCAGTGCTCTGTCATTAGCTGGGGCTGCCTGCAGAGCGCGTGGCCTGTGCGCTACAGCTGAGGCCTGGAGGCTGTCAGCTCACTGCACTCCTAGCAGCTGACCAGCAACTTCTCTGTCAGAGATCTGAGCGGTGCAGCTCCACCCCTGCCTCAGACAGACAGGGCGGCTGCCTTCTGCAAAGCACACACCCTGTGCCAGGCACTTTCTCTATCTTCCTCAAGTCTCTCATGGATCCTGTGAGCTCTGTTATTTCCACGTCCACAGCTGATGAAATGGAGACCTAGCAAGTTATTCACCCGCTGAGATTGCCCTGGGGGTGAGTGGCAGAGTTGGGATTGGAACCCCGGTCTGTCTGGCTCGGATGTTTCTGCTTCAGTGTCCTGTGGCAGCAGCCATTGCTTCAGCGGCCACCGTCCCTGCGGTAAGGCGTTGGGCGCTGCAGCTTCACTGGCTGCTCACTGTCCCCAAAGCATATGTCCTGTCTGGGTAGTGTGTATGTTATCAGCCCCTGGGTCTGTCTTGGGTTCAAAACACAGCTCTTTTTCCCATGTGCCCTCAAAGGCAGATGCTTGGACAAGTAGATTATTTGAGAGGCAATCCAAGGAGGCAGGAGTTGGGGTGGAGGAGTTTGTGAGGGGGGCATATGAGCCAATCTAGGAGCACGAGGGAGCCCCGATCAACATGGCGCTCGAACCTGCTGTGGACCATCTGAGGAGCTGTGCAGGATGTTGGCCCAGTTTTTACTTCCATTCTTCATTGGTGGAAGGCAGCCCTGGGGGCAGTGGCTCCTGGGTACTTCTGGGCACATGTGCACAGAGGCCGGCAGGCTCTGGGGGCACCAGAAAGTGTCAGGTGCAGAGCTTGAGAGGAGATGCAGTCAGCATGCAGGGAGCTGTCCATGACGGCCGCGGGGAACCAGGGGCGACCTGATAATGGGTGGGTGTCCACAGCATATGCCAAACCAAGTATTCAGGCCTTGCGGACAGAACCTGCCTCCAGTTCAGGGTATCTGATACTTGTGGCTCAGGACGCAGGGGAGGAAGCAGCGGCCCCACACCTAGGACATCTTATTAGTCAGCTCGGGCTGCCAGAACAAAATACGACAAACTGGGTGGTGGAAACACCAGAAGTTTATTTTCTTATAGTTCTGGAGGCTGGAGATCTAAGATCACGGTGATGGCATGTTTGGTGTTGTCTGAGACCTTTTTCCTTGGCTTGCCAATGGCTGCCTTCTCTCCATGTCCTCACATGGTCTTCCCTCTGTGTGTGCCTTCCTGGTGTCTCTTCCTCCTCTTGTAAGGACACCAGTCCTATCAGGTTAGGGCCCCATCCTTATGGCCTCATTTAATCTAATTCCCTCCTTCAAGGTCCTATCTCCAAATATAGTCACATTCCAAGTCACTGGAGGGTAGGGCTTCCACATATGAATTTTGGGGGACACAATTTAGTTCATAACAAGCATGAATGGCTGGCAAGAGGACCTGGATCTGTGTTTCTCATTTTACCAGTCCCAGACACAGGCAAGTGAGCAGCTTTAGGGTCCCATAGGTGGAGTGGCAATGTAGTGCCAAGTCAGAAGCAAGTTTGTCTGCCCAGGGTGACTCCCAGATCCAGGACTGCCCACACCCACAGCCTAGTGGGCACTATACCCCCAACGTCTCCTGAGCTTGGCCCTCTCTTCTCAGGGACCCCTGGCATCCGTTCCTGCCTTCCAAGGCCGCCCAGGCTCTGCTGCACCCTGCTGCCTCTCTCTGCCCTATCGGTGTCCAGGAGGTGGAACAATAGTCCTGAGGCCTGGGTTGCAGGGCTGGCTGAGTGGTGTGTCCTTGTCAAGTGCTTCCTTCTGTCCTCTCACCTGGGAAATGATGGGGATGGGTGGGCTACAATTCTTGTTCCCACAGCTTATCTTTTTTGCAGTGTTGAAAATTTCGGGGTGGGGTGTGGGCCCTGGGGGGGAAATCGGCTGGAGGGATTGTCCATTGGCAAGGTCCGCCTGGGAAGGTGGCTTGGTAGGATGTTTCAATAGCTCTAAAGAAGGCGCGTATCTAAGATTATTTCCTTATGACATCTTCTGAAAAGGGCAGTTGCTGGGCCAAAGATTTAGCTATGAGGAGTCACTAGTGTTGGTTTCTCACATTTTTCTCTTATCAAAACATCCAACATGAAGGGACTGAATACAGAAACCATGGTAACTTATTTAATGGAACACACAGGCATAAGACNACAGCTCCAAGCCAACAGATGGTCTCCTGCAAGCAGTGGTTTTGCCCCAAATCACACACAGTAATATTTCTGCAGGAAAATGTATGAAAATTCCCCTAACTGGGGTAAAAATATATAAACAACCCCATGTAAGATTTGCTACTAAATTATTTATAAGAAAATTTTAGTTTTCAGAGCATTTGGGATTTTGGAATTCCATACATGGGATGGTAGGCTTGTGTTGTCTCACTTAATCCTCTCAATGACCCCATGAAATAGGAACTGTTATTATCTCCTGCGTAGTGAAGCATTCATCTTACCCAAAGAGTGGTCTGGCCTTTGTCTTGGTTCCTGGAAGCTGATCTCTATGTCCCCCACCTTACCTCCCCCACCCCTGCCCTGCTCCACAATGTCCTGACTGATAGGAGTGTCTTTGTTTGCCTGGGGGCTTTGACCACCAGACAGTCAAATAACGTGGTTTATGATGAGGGCTTTGGGCCATGCATTATCAGACTTCTGGATGAACTGGAAAGGAAAGGTATTAGCTTGCTTTCTGGGAGGGGATGGAGACTAAATAAAGGTCAGCCACCTGGGCACTATGTCATATGTACCAGTAAGTACTCTGGACGCCAAAGGCTTGGGTGACTTTCCCCGGTTGGCATTACTCTGTGTGTCTTGTCACATACTGTGGCTAAGAAAGGTAATGCAGCCAGTTCTCCATGAGGAGAGGACAACTGGAAGCTCACATTTAGACCCCTCCCAGGCTGCCCTTTGAGTCTGTTTCTTTGGCTAATTTTAACCTGCATCTTTTCTGTGTAGTAAACTGAGAGAGCAATAGCTTTTAGTGAGTTCTTGCAGTAAATTATTGAACCTGAGAATGTTTTTTGGGGGACTCCTCCAACTTGCAATTGGTGTCAGAAGTGAGGGAAGTCTTGTGTGGGGGATCGTTTCTTCAAACTGTACAGGTGGCTGAACTCATTGCATCTTCATATACCAGATAAGCAAACTGAGGCAAGGAAGACAAGTAACTCTCTCCAGGCCACCAAGTTCATAAATGGAGGAATAGATTCAAACCAAGGCCATAGAGCTTTAGAGCCAAACCTGTTCTTAACCACCATGTGACACTTTTAAAAGGAAAGTGGCCAAGGCCAGTGGTGGAAGGGGAGGCAGGGCCCAGTGGGTCAGAAGTGGTTCATGAACTGAATCCAGAACAAATGATGGTCAAGGATTGTAAATTCTGTCANGCCTGGGAAGGCGGGAGGAGGATGAAGCCCATCAGCAGGGTTAGAAGCAGCCCTTTGGAGCCTGACAGCCCACTCACCAGCCGTGAGACCTCAAGCAAGTTTCTTGACCTTTCTGAGCCTGTTCCTCACCTGGAAAATGGAAATGGCAACACCGCTTCCCTTCCCAGGGCTCCTCTGTGCCTAACCGAGATGACACAGGCCAGGTGCCTGGCACGCAGTAAATACCAGCAGGTTATGGGGTCTCTGTCTTCATTCTGGAGCACAAGGACACATGGCTCTGGAAACAGAGGGCCAGGCTGTGAGGCCTGAGGCAGGTTACTTGACCTTCCTGAGCCTCTCCTTCCTCAACTGTAAATTGGGTTGCAATGGGACAAGGCCAGGGGTCCCAGCAAGTCCCAGGTACCCTCATAGCCATGACAGCAGCTTCCCTGTTCCCCAGTGGCCCCCAAATTTATTCCACTCACTGGAGACTGTGACTGATGGACAGCTGGCAGGCGCCCAGTCCTGGGCTCTTTCGCTTGGGATGTGCTCGACCAAGACAGTGGAGCTTCCCAGACCCATGGTTGCTTCCGACTTTCACCTTCTTTTGGGTTTCAGCCTTAGGTCCCTCTGCTTCTGGCCCCCATCCACCCCCTGGAAATGAGGGCCAGTGCCCAAGTCCCCAAAACTGAACAGTAAGTATGTCAGGCAGCTGGGGGATAGATACGTCAGAATTAGGTCTTAACTGCTTATGTATTTTGATCCATTCTTCTATCAAACCTTTCTTTTCTGCCATTCTTTTTAAAATAGTAATGCCAAACTCCTTCTTTGGTCTCTATGAGGCTCTCTTTATAAGTGTTTTTGGAGACAGAGGGAATGGGGGAATAGATTTTTGTTGCCACTTCCACTGCCTGGCAAAGTGTGTGCACACCTTTCCTGCCAGTGTCCCTGCTACAGGTAACATGTAATGTGCGGGGACTCTTATCTCATAGCAAGATGAATGAAAGCCCTCAAATTACCATATTGTCTTAAAACAGAGGAGCCATTTCCCTGGGGCCAGTACCGACCAAGAGACAGGTACATGGGGCTGAAAATGACCTTAGTTGTGGCTTGCACAAAAATACATAAAAGACCATTCATGGGGCCTATGGTAACCATCCAGTGATAATTACCAGCAGAACAAAATGAGAAAATCTACCCGCCTCTCACCAGCAAAAAAAAAAAAAAACCCACTTCAAGGTAAAACAATAACAAAAATTTTGAAGTTCAAATGAAATGATTGCCCAGTGTATTTGGTCTTTATGGCATCACGTTTTCGAGTCAGGTTTCCACAAATTAGCTGCCAATCACATTGGCTTTTAATTGCTCAGATAGGCACAGGGTGCTTTGAGCTGGCATGGCTGACTTTTCCGGTCTCCAATTGTTCCGTATGGAAGGAGCAAATCAAACTCGTGTCCCAGCAGAGAGGGTCTGGGGACACCATGGGGCTCCAGTCTCTGCCTTTCACTCCTGAAGGATAGGCTACTCAACCTCTTTGCTGCCAGTTCCTTTTTTTTTTTTTTAAATGGGGTTGTTGGGAGCTCAGATTAAAGACTTGTAAGGCCCTTAAAACGTGTGCGCACTGTGTCAAGAATCCAATCAATAGTGAATAAAAATCTAGGCCTTGAAATTGGTGGAAAAGAACTTTTACCTGCCAGTGTCCCTGTTGTGAGGGTGTTCTGGGCATGTTTATTCAGGTGAAGAAGGGAAGGGTCAGGTTTCCACAGACCAGAACACTTTGGGATTTACTGTTAAGAATCAGAAAAGTAGATTCAAAACATATTCAACATATAGTAAATGCCCTAAACTTGTCACACTGCGGCAGAGGGCGGGCACGGCACTCCACTCCACGTCCTTTTAACATTTGGTACTGAAGGTGGCTTTTCTTCAGTTTCTCCTCTTAGTGGTTCTCAAACTTGAGGCACTTCAGAATCGCCTGCAGGACTTCATAGCACACAGGTTCCTGGGCCGCACCCCCGAGTTTCTGATTCCGCAGAGCTGGGGAAGGATGCGGGGTGACCTAGAGGGTTTGCATCTCTAAGTTCCCCAGGGATGCTGGCGCTGCGGGCCCAGGGACCACATTTTGTGCTATTTGACATTAAATATTTACTCAGGAAACGTCCCTTCCCTTCCTAAGCTGGCTTTCCCCGGAAGCGCTGACCATGGGATCCGCTGATGGTCACCGGTTTGAGCGGATAAGATGGAGGATGTCAAGGTGTGTGTCTGACAAGCTCCCCTGCAGGGTACACAGCTTTTGGGTGTCTGCAATGGGACCTCTTGAGAGAGTCCCGTGATTTGGAGTGTGGCTAGCTGCAAACGTAGGACCCCAGGGTAGTTATAAACGTTCTGAACATAGAGCTTCAGGTGGTTTAGATCACTAGGTCAAGGCTTTCGCAAAGGGCTGGCTGTTGGACACTCTAGTTTCTTTCTGGCCAAGGGGCATCAAGTCTACCTAAATTGAGGGTCTGGGATATTCTAGAGGGGGGGGGCTGGAATATTCTGGAGGAGGGCAGGTTGTTCTCAGGGAGGCAGGAGGCATTTTGGAAACGCAGCCACACTGTGGGCAGGGGTTTGCGGATCAGGCGTGGGGCTGTGGCTGGGGGTAAGCACTGGGAAGGCGGGCCTGGCGTTGTGCTCGCGCAGGCTGGCCCTCGGCAGTGCGCAGTTCTGGGGGTGGGGAGTGGGGGGCACACGTTTGCCTTTGCAGCCTCGGACCTCTGAAGGGAACTGTGCAAACCTCGAGTGAATTCACCAGCTTAACAACAAAATTAAGTAGCGCTTCCTCTGGTTCTTATAGTCTCTCTCATTCTCTCTCTGGAGTTGGCCCCATTTAAAAATTTTATTAGGTTTTTAATCAGGTTCCATGGTGAAGTGCATTAAACAAGGTTAGAATCTAACCTTTTAGAAAGACACAAACAAGGTGAATACAGCAGTTCCCCCTTATTAGCGGGGGATATGTTCCAAGACCCCCAGTGGATGCTTGAAGCTGCTGATAATACCTGACCTGTATATAATGTTTTTTTCTATACATACATACCTGTGATAACATTTAATTTATAAAATAGGCACAGTAAGAGATGAACAATAATAAAATAGAACAATTATATACTATAAGTTATGTAAATATGGTCTTTCCATCTCCCAGAATATCTCATTGTACTGCGCTCACCCTTCTTGTGATGACGCGAGGTGATAAAATGCCTACATGATGAGATGAAGTGAGGTGAACGACAAATATTAAAATAAGGGTGACTTGAACACAAGCACCGTGATACTGTGACAGTTGATCTGGTAACCGAGCCGGTTACTAAGTGACTAATGAGTGGAGAAGGGCAGACAGTGTGGAGACGCTGGCGAAGGCACCGAGTGGGACGGTATGAGATTTCATCACATGCCTCGGAATCGGTGCTCAATTTAAAACTTGTGAATTGTTTCTTTCTGGAATTTTCCATTTAATATTTGAAGACTGTGGGTAACTGAAATTGCAGAAAGCAAACTCGTGGACGAGGGGGGACGACTGTACTGCCCGGTCTACCTGGTTTAAGACTGGAGAGGGCTTTGTTTGGTCCTAGGGAGCCAGCCATGGGGACTTCCATATTTAGCTTTGTTCCCTTCGTTCTGGCTCCTGGGCAGCAAGGAACAGTGGCTCAGGGGGAGTGCGTGCCACTTGTCCTTTGGCAGTTAGGGTGAGGCCAACTCTTTAGCACTTTTAAAGCAGAGGGTGGAGGGATTCACCGGATGTGGGTGTGCGTTTTGAAAAGACCATTTTGGCTGTTACATACGGAAGAGACGGGCCTAACATGGGCGCTGGACAGGATGTGGGGAGGCCAACAGGGGTGCAATTCTGAAGGGCCTGTTAACACACAGCCCCTGAACTTGGCCTCCTCTCCCCCGACACACCTCCTCCATGCAGCACGTGGGCGGTGGGCCCAGGAGTCTGCATCCAACATGCTGACGCTGCCACCACTAGCTTGGGCTCTGTTGGTGGCAGGGGCGTTGGTAATGGATGGATTTTCAGAGACGTGCAGTTTGCACATTTTAAGGAGAAGGCAGGAAGACCTTTCTGAAAAACTGGGACTTTCTTTAGTCTGAAGATACCTGTCCCCAAGCAGAACTTAGTACAAACTTCAGAGATGCCTCAGCGATTTGAGGATGAGACGAGGGGCAACACCGCACAAAGCAGTAGACTCACCTCCTGGCACTGTAAGGTAACAGAGCCCAGGGCCACTCTGATTAACCCAGGCTCTGTCTGGGTAACCTTGATGTTGTGCAGTGTTTGCTCTCTGTCTTTCTACGGAATAGCATTGTGGCACTGAGTTTACACAGAACCTGGGTTATCAGAGTGGCCCTGAGTCTCTCTCTGTCCTATCAGAAGCTAGAGAGATGGACAGCCTCCTTTCCCTTAGTGTTTCCGAAAGGATGCTAGCCAACCCAGCCACTCCGTCTTTAAACTCCTTGCTCGGCTCTGAACTGTGGCGGGGACACACCTGAGATATAAGTGAGGCGTAAAAACATTCAGACTCTGGAGACCCTCGTTAGTTTTCCAACTCTGCCAGGTCCCTGGCAGGGAGGCCCTGGAGAGAGGAAGCCCACCTGTCAGCACAGGTGACAGGTCGCATTACCTAGGAGGGCTTGTGCTTGTGCTTGGCTCTCATCCCACAGGGCACACATATCTGATGGAGAGCCCTGGAACTCCCACACTCAAAGAAGGGCCTTGACTCTCCAGGGCACCTAGGCCCATGTAGGAAACGGGCATATTCCCTGTCTAGGAGGCTACAAAAAGCCTTCCTCTCTCCAGGAGAGTCCTCAGGAGACACCATCCTGTAACTAGGGCCTCCCTCTCCTCCACTTTACCTTATTCACAGCTACCACCACACTCATCAAAACAAAGGCCCCAGGTCCCTGCTGTGTGTTCCCAGCGTGTCACAGAAAATGTTCAGTTTAGTGGCCACTTAGCCCTTCTGAGGGCCCCTATCTCCATTTCCCAGGAGGATGCACCTGTGTTCCTCAGTAGGAAGCTAATGCTGCCAGGAGTGGCTTTTCCTTTAAAAAATGGAGCTGTTTGTGTTGGGGGATAAACAGCCTCAGGGCGCCTGTGTTTTTGGTGGCGCTCCTACTGCTGGACAAACCTCGTGCTGGGGTTCTGGAGGGCTTGGCAGTGTCCCAGCATTGATGAATCATTGTGGGGAGCTTGGCTGGGGCTGGCTGGAGCGCTGCCTGTGGTGGGGTGCGACCCTGGTGTTGTGAAGTAGCCGTTCTCTGATTGGCAACGGCCTGATTCACAACACCAGCTGCCCCACCGCACCGTGCTGGGGAGGTCCCGGAGCGTCGATGTTCGTGGGGTCACCTCCTCGGAGCTGCTTCTGGATGTGGAGAGGAGAGACAGAGCAGCCATGGGTTAGAACCAGAATGCAAGCAGATTCGACATTTCATCTCCTTCTCTGTCCCCCTCTGATTGATTCTTCTTTTATGTTGTGTTCTTTGCCAGCTTTCCTATCCCCTGGGCTCATGGGTGGATATCAGTGGCTCCGAGGAGCCCGGGGCCCACTTAGCCGTGGGAACAGTCTACTGCCTTTAACAAATCTTCAAAGCCTCCACTGACCCGGCAGGTGTAACGGTAAGCAAGTAGTATTTTGAAGGCCCATCAGTCAGGGTTTTCCTCACTGACACTTACAGGGAGGAACAGAAACACAGGAATTCCTGTTACTCTGTCGCCAAACACAGAAACCAGAGACCTTTCTCACCTCGTGTCCTGAGAATAACTCTGCTAGGACCCCTTCCCTCTCCATGTGTCTGCCTGTGCAGGGTTCCCAGACCTCGAAGGCCCTGCCTGTAGAGTAGCTCCCGTGTCCCCTAAGGATGACCAGAGACCGAATGAAACCTTCCAAGGATAGAGAGTAGCTCCCTGACCCAGCCCTCCAAAGGGGGGAAACATTCCAATCATAAAATAAGGGCAGTCACTGCGGATTCGGGTAGTCATGCAAATCAATGAAAGTGGAGACTGGCTGAAAAGAAACCAGGTTGTGCAGGTAAAAACAATGAAGCATCCCTGTGGCCTGCCTTTCAGCAGGTGATGTGCTGGGCTTGTCCTCTCTGAACTTCAGCTGGGAGTTATCAAGAGTGTGCACTAGAGACATTCAGCAGGAAGATGACGTTGGAACTGCCCTTTTGGTATCTGCCTGGATTTGTCTCACCATTATGAAATTATGTAACACAAACTGACATGAAAATAGCATTTGAAGTTTAATGCCTATTTCCAGGTGTCGCTAAACACTTTTAAATGAACAGCTCTTTGGCCCCAAACGGCTCCTGCCTGCTGCGTGGTTCTTAGTTACCCAATCGAGAAGAATTACAATTCCCACTTGCTGCCGTCTATCATGGAACCTGCTTTATTTTAAGGACGCAAAGTTGGCAAGTTCCTAGTGCTGGATGTGGCACAGAAGTTCTGCCAACGTTCTTGCTGGAGTCGGGGGAGGCAGAGACTGAGTAATTCATCAATCATAGCTTAACACCGGGCCGTGTGAACCACTGTGGCCTCGAAGTTTGGGAATGTCTGGGGTTTTTTGTTTGTTTTTTTGGCTATAATCAAAGTATCCCTGCGGGGACATTAGGCCATAATCTCTGCACTGGGACCTCTGTGGTCCACAGCACTGCCAAACTGGAGGTTGCTGCCACACGTGGGGGGCTCGTGCCAGGCTCCGGGGCAGCCCAGCTGTGCATTCACTGTGAGCTGTGCTAGGACTGGAGGATGCGGATGTCTGGGCCAGGTATTGTTCTAGGCACTTCACACCCTGTGACGCTCATGATCTGTCACTGTGCCCACTAGGTTAGGAATGGGATGTGCAGCAGGATGAAGGAACTCCTGTGGTCAAGGAAGAGTGGGAGGGGCCAGGCTGGAGCGGGCGCCCAGATTCAGCTCAGCCGCCCACTCCCCTGGGTGGACGTGGCTGATTCCGGCTGCTGCTTCCTATTCAGATTCCTCATCTGCTGAAGGAGGGCCTGGAGCAGATGGTCTCTAGGTACCCCCAGCTCTGCAGGCTGGGGACCTGTTCTCTGGAATGCACTATGGACTAGTGGGTGGCTGTGTGGCACTGTGGTTGAGCACTGGGACTCTGGAAGCAGGTAGAACTGAGTGTCATTCAGCAACAGGGAGTGGCCCTGCTGGAACATACCCTGTTGCTTGCCACCTCAGGGCCTTTTCATGCTGCTGCCTCCCTGAGGACCTCAGTCACCCCAGGGGCATTGGAAGAGAATGTAAGATTTCTTTCTGGTCTTCCAAAATTCTGCACCAATTTTAACCAAGGCCTTTTAATCTCTTCAGTTCCCATTCTGGCCTGCTTGTGTTAGTGCTTCTTCACTGCACGCTTGGTAGGGTCAAGCCTGCTAATTCTGTGTGTGGTTTTTTGTTTTTTGTTGTTTTGTTTTGTTTTAAGGTCACATAATGATCACTTGGCATACACAATCCCAAGAACATGGCATTTACCTAAACTTTGTTAACATCAGAGGCTGCAAATCAACAAGACATTTTTCTGTCTGTTACTTCTGGGAAAAGATGACGGCAACAGAAACACAGGTTGATTCTCTCAATGACCAACTCCCAGAATGACTGTGGGTCAAGGCAGAGCCCATTCAGTACTGGACATCCACCCCCATCTGGAGGGGGGATGGTGGAGGGGATTCAGCGCTCTACCCCCACTCGAAGATCCTGCTTCAGTTGGTTTGGGAGTGAAGCCAGGAATCCAGCCCCCACCCCAGAGATTCTGATAAACCAGATTTGGGAACTGCGGCTCTAAATCTAGGCTCTGTTAAAAACCCATGTTCCTAATGAGGCTCAGCCCAGTGGGAGTCTGATATGGCTTCAGCATCTTCAGAGGAAAATTAAATCTTGCCCGCATGGCAGGCGCTGTTGGTGCTCAGCGCTACTGTTCCTGTGCAAGGATGCCCTCAGCCTGGGGCCTCCTTGGATCAGGAATGGGAGGAGGAATGTGGTCAGGCTGCACACGGTGACTGGGAGCCAGGCAGTTAACATCCCGGGGCAGCCCTCGGCAGTGATGCTCTGGAGTCAGTGGACAGACACCCCTCTCTCTTGCCCGACACAGGACCCCAGAGGTCCCCCCTCATTCACAGCAGCAACCTGGTGGATAACACCATCTTTATGGGCTCCCTCATCTCTACCTCCCCAACCTCAACCAGTGCTTCCTGGACCCAGCTCCCAACACTCAGCTGTATGTTAGTGTCTGTGTTAAGTGTATTTAAGTACACCCATGTTTCGAATGGGTAGATCCTACGTTGTTCCCATAGTCACTTTCAGCAGGGCAGGACCGAGGAGAGGAGAGCAAGGCGATCACTCTTAGATGCTGACCCCCCCCCGCCCCCACTCTTGCACCAGCAGGACCGTGAGCTCCTCCTGAAAATTTGCATCCTGGGCTCTCTTGTTTGCTCACCCTGATCCTGTCCGACTTTCAGAAAATCAGAATACACAAATCAGGCAAAACAACCCATGGCAAGGAGGCGTTTTCTAAAGTCTGTTATACCTATGTTTCTTCATTGCTTTTTCATAGCCGATACCCCTCCAAATGGAAGACCTTTTGGCGTCCAAACCGAAGTATTAGGATCATTCTGCATGGTCAGTAAGTCACACATGCTGTCACAGGCACTTAAGACAGCACATCCGCTCTAGGACAATGGCAAAAATAACCCCAAAGGCAGCCAGTGAAGCCTATTTGCGTTAGCCCATCTTGGCTGACGCCTTCCAGGTAGGCTTTGCAAGTAAAAACTCCTGGTTCAAAGGGGACTGCCTGGCTTGCCAAGCCCAGCCCGGAGTTTATTAGCACAGTTAATATCGTATGCAAATAGATTTCCCGCTTTGGTCATGCCAGTCCATTAATTCAGCCCCTTGTCAGCGACATCTTTATCCTTGGCAGGTTAATCCTGCCAAATGCCTTTGCTGTAGCACATGTCACGCTGTGCCTATGTCCAACAATGCAATTTTGCTAATCCTGTTGTATCAGCTTTGTGGCCCTGTCTGGTCAATCCAGTGGTGGAAAAAGCGCATATAAAGGTTTTGCCAAGACCTTTCTCCTACTCTGGTACCCACCCCTTCCTTTTTTTTTTTTAATTTTAAATATGGTTTCCATTAAATGGTTTGAAAGTCAACCACAGTGTTTGGACAGCTGCCAACGCCAATGTTTTTCAGACAGAAATGTCAAGGCTCTCAGTGGGCCTCCAAACTCTTTCCAGCAGCCTCACCAGCCATCAGCGGAATATGATTAAATGGGAATGGTTAAAACAGGAAAATCCCCTAAACTTTTCTTTCCTAGGCTCTTCACACATTAAGGGCTTGGAGATGACTGAATGGATGGCATATGTTACCACCCGTTATCTTTGGTACCAACCTCTATGAGTCATTAGGAGAGGTGCCGTCCCTTCCTGCAGTCACCTGTGTCAGGTATCCACCTGACACAGAAGCATCAGCTCCATGCCGTACAGTGTGCTGCCTCTGCAGGCCATAGCCTGACAGGGGTAAGAGTGTGGGCCTTGCAATCAGATTTGCCCAGGTTCCAATCTTGGCTGGAACACTTTCTACCTGTGACCTCAGGCAAATGGTTGAACTGCTCTGGCCTTGCTTCCTCACTTGTACAATGGGGATAACCACAGCTCCTGCCGCATGGGACTGCTACCAGGATTCAGTGAGTTAATACATGCTAATCACTCAGAATGGTGCTGGCACACACACATAGCAGGCACTGGGTCAATGTAAGGTAATTTTAGCATAGGTTTTTGAAATTTGTTAAAACTCACTGTCACTTACAGCTTACCCTAGTACATATGCAAAGTGCATGGTAAAATTACACATGGGCAAGTCTTAGTGATTACAATGTTATTGTCTATATTCCCTACGCTGTACTTTACATCCCCGTGACTATTTTTATAACTTGTAATTTGTACTTTTTAATCTCTTCACCTTTTTCACCCATCACCCTAACCCACCTCCCATCTGACTACCATCAGTTTGTTTTCTGAGTCTATGAATTTATTTCTGTTTTGTTTTTAGATTTCAAAATATAAGTGAAATCACATGGTATTTCTTTCTCCGACTTATTTCACTTAGCACAATACCCTCTAGGTCCATCCATGTTATTGCAAATGGCAAGATTTCATTATTTTTTATGGCTGAGTAATATTCCATTGCATATATATGGACCACATCTTCTTTATTTGTCTATTGATGGACATTTAGGTTGCTTCCATATCTTGGCTATTATAAATAATGCTGCAATGAACATAGGGGTGAATATATCTTTTCAAATTTGTGTTTTGGATTTCTTCAGATAAATACCCAGCAGTGGAATTGCTGGATAATTAGGTAATTTTATTTTTAATTTTCCGAGGAACCTCCATACTGTTTTCCATAGTGTCTGTACCAATTTACAATTTCACCAACAGTGCACCAGGATTCCCTTTTCCCACATCCTTGCCAACACTTGGTTGTTGATTTATTGATGATAGCCATTCTGACAGGTGTGAGGTGATATCTCCTTGTGGTTTTTATTTGCATTTCTCTGATGATTAGTGATGGTGAGCATTTTTTTCATATGTCTATTGGCCATCTGTATGTCCTCTTTGGAGAAATGTCTATTCAGGTCCTCTGTGCATTTTTAAAATTAGATTGTTTGTCTTTTGGTGTTAAGTTATATGAGTTCATTATATATTTTGGTTATTAACCCCTCATCGGATGTATCATTGGTGAGTATCTTCTCCCATTTAG